AATATATATATATATATATATATATATATATATATATATATATATATATATATATATATCCAGGTATAGAACTGGCGTATCCAGAATAAATTTCAATAATCAAAAAAAAAAAAAAATACTATTATTAAAAAAGAATACCTAATACAGATATAGCATATATATATATATATATATATATATATATATATATATATATAAATATATTGCAAATATATTGATATAGATCCGACAGTATGAAGAAAATTACTGTTATCTGTTTGGATTTGTATTGCTTTTATGTCCATCGTCTTTTTCATGTTGAATTGTATATGGTTTATGTTAATTATGTTTCATGAATATGTCCTGAAGATGGTGTATTAGACCGAAACGTCCGACGTTGACATTAAACATTAAAAGAGCATAATCGCATATTAGGATTTTTGTTTTGTTTTTTCAGTATATCTTCTTCATATATATATATATATATATATATATATATATATATATATATATATAAGAAATATAGAAGAAAATAAGTGTGCTATATTTATAGGATAAAGTGCTTAAAGTTTACTGTAGATAGCGCTGTGTTGCCGTGTAGACTAGGTTACATTTGTCATTCGTATACATTTTTGATTAGTCTATCTACTATGCCTAACATGTGTAGTAGTGAGAGAAGTATTCCGTTTAACATTAGCAAGATATCCATATCTGTATGAGATTGCGTTTTCACGTCGAAGGCGGCCGAGTCATCCAACCTTTGCTGCTGTTTATCGTCGCGTTGCTGAGACAGGATCCGTAGCGTCACAAACTATAGATCGAGGAAGATCGAAATACGCTCGTATGCCTAAGAACGATGAACATTCTACATGCTGTCGGGAACGGTGCAAGTATCAGCGAACGTCAAGTCGTCCTAGCGTGTCTACCGGATAGAGGCCATTTCAAGAGCAGCTCCAGTAGCCGTATCATTTTCAATGTGTGCAGGGTCTTTCAACCTCTGATCACTCACCACGAGAGAACTTTTGCCGATCGTTTATTGCACACACTGCCCTTCCGCTGTTTGTCACTTCAGCCCTGTTTATGTATGAATCGTGATGAAATCAACATAAACGAAAATCACATGTTCACCATCAAATAATCATAGCGAAGGATGGGAAGCTCATCACAGATTGAATTAAAGTTCATATATATATATATATATATATATATATATATATATATCTGAGTATATGATTGGTGTATACGGAATAAATTCCAATAACCAACAATTACTATTCTTAAAAGAGTGCTCAATACAGAGTAGAGTGAATATAATTATTTGTTTAAAATTGTAACATAAATATGTTATAAAATCAACACCTCTGGTGTCTTAACAAGTGACGATGTTGAATGTAGATTGTAGATAATTTTAAATAAATAATTATATATATATATATATAAATTTAAAAATTATAACATAAAAATGTTATAAAATCACTACAAAAATAACCATTTTGTTTCAACACCTCTTGTGTCTGATCAAGTGATTATATTAAATGTAGATTGTAGATAATTTTTAAATAAATAATCATATATATATATATATATATATATATATATATATATATATATATATTATTTCAGGATCATTTCCTAACTTCTTCAAGATGATGTTTGCTCCACTCTAACCTTATAACTTTCTGTCCTGGAGTAACAAGTTGCCTCACACGTTTCCTCTCGCACGTGCCCAATGTCTTATGGACTGAGTTGGATCTTTTCTAATTGATCTCTTTGACTCTCAGTTAAAATGATGATCCCTCTTCCTGTTGTGACCTCACGATTTAGTTTTCCTCTCTGTTGTTCCCTCTTTTTTTTAAAACTTATTCCCCGTTCTCTTGATGCTTATTGAATGGGGTTTATATATAGAAGCCAGAGTCTGAACGTTGGTACATTTACTGAAGGCCTGAATGATCTTTTTCCTCTCACAATTGCTCATTTGGAAAGACAGTGGACTGATACAAAAACATTCTAACCTGTTCTTTTTCTAGCTGAATAACAAATGTTTTTTTCAGTGATTCATATGATGAATGGTATCAAGATGTCTAAATATCTTCTCTAAATACCTGGAAAAAATTAATTCAATTAGCTTAGCGGTTCTTTAGATATTAAACATTTTGTGGGATATAAATAAATTCAATTAGCTTAGCGGTTCTTTAGATATTAAACATTTTGTGGGATAGAAAATTAAGCTGTTAGACAATTTGGACAATGTTGCTGTTACAACCTATCTATCTCTCTCTCTCTATATATATATATATATATATATATATATATATATATATATATATATATATATATATATATATTATTATTTACACCAAAGTGCTGCTTTCTTTTGAAAATCGGATTCCATCAGTGTGTCCAGTGTTTCCAAGTACCTATTACGTTAGCTGCCGTAACCATGTGATATGAAGTCGACGAGACGCACACGATTTTCCCCGTAATTTTCTACGCTGACTTCGCATTTGCTTCTTGCTTTTTTTTATATAAAAAAGCTTGTATATATGGACATATCAAAAAAGGAAAAAGAAAAGCTAGCATGGGAAAGAAAGAAATAATGAATGGCAGCACGAGAAAGAAAGAAAGAAAGAATGAAAGAAAGAATATCAACATGTGAAAGACAATTTTTGAAAGAAAGAACGAATGAACGACAAAGTTGTAACGAAAGAAAGAAAGAAAGAAAGATAGAAACTAAGAAACACAAAAAAGAAAGACGTTTGAAAGAAAAAAGAATGAGTGAAAAAGAGAAAGAACGAGTAACCAAATGAACGAAGGACAACGTCTGAAAAAAAAGAAAATGTGTTAAATAAAGATAGGAAGAAGGAAGGAAGAAAGGAAGGAAAGAAAAAAAAGGAAAGAAAAAAGAAGGAAAGAACGAACGAACACGTCTGAAAGAAAAAAAGAAATAAGAAAAGGAAGAAAGAAGGAAAAAAAGAAGGGAATATAAAAGGAAAAAAAGGAAGAAAAACAAGGAATGGTAACAAAGGAATACAAAAATTAAGAACGATGTTTTGAAAGAAAGGAAGAAAGAAAAAATGAGTGAAACATTTAAATAAATGAAGGAAGGAAGGAAAGAAAGAGAAGACAGGAAGAAAGATCGGTAACAATGAAAAAAAAGAAGGAAAAACGCCGTTTGAAAAAAGAAAGAAAGAAAGAACGGGGACAAGAAACACAAAAAAGAAAGATGTTTGAAAGGAAGAAAGAAAGAAAGAACGAATGAACGAACTTTTGAAAAAAAGAGAAAATGTGTAAAATAAGGAAATGAAAGAAAAAAGGAAGAAAAAAAAGAAGGAATGATATCAAAGGAACACAAAAATGAAGAACGATGTTTAAAAGAAAGAATAAATGAAAATGAATGAAGTAAAGAAATAATAGAAGGAAGAAAGAAAGGAGGAAAGAACGGTAACAAAGGAATAAAACACGAAAAACGACATTTACCGAAAGAAAGAAAGAAAGAAAGAAAGAAAGAAAGAAAGAAAGAATGGCAACGAAGGAACACAAAAATTAACGACAACGTTTGAAAGATGAAAGATCAACATCGTGTGAAATGAAGGAAAGAAAGAAAGATAGAAAGAAAGAAAGACGATAACGCCTGAAAGAAAGAAAAAGAAGGAAAGAAAGAAAGTAAGCTTTACCAAAAAAGATTGATATACTTATGTACCGAATGATGGAGCGTTTTGACACAATATGTAAAAATATCCTTCTAGGATATATTCATATGTTCTGGAAAACCTGCGATTGTATTCAAACGGAAGAGGAAGTGGCAATCAAGTAGTACCAATCAATTGAAGCTTAAGCTGGCATGAAATCTGCGTTTTACTAACTTTGTACGCATGCTCCAAATATTTGACCCTCTCCTTCAAGTTTTGTGTATAACGGAGCATAGAAATACATGAACATGCAAAGGCAATAATAATTACACTCATATAATGTCAGGAAGGCCACATACATACAAACGCGCTCACACGCACACGCATATACATACTCCTACACATACACGCACGCACGCATACAGGTACATAATCATAATTATTATAAAACCAAGATTGTGAGTGTGTGTCTGTTCGTTTATATATTGGGTTGGATTTCCTACATTTTTTCAACCGATTTCAACAAAACTTCACAGGACTATGTAAAATTACCTTGCAGTGGTTCTGACAGTGCCAAAAATTGGAAAAATACAATTGTTTTTGCACGAAATCAATTTGAAAACACGATTAAGAGGCATTAATGAAAGGGGGAAAACTCATATCGAGTTATACTTATTATAAAACCCAGGTTGGTTATTTTTGTGTGTTCGTTTATATATGGGATCAGATTTCCTACATTTTTCAACCGATTTCAACAAAACCTTATTTTTTTTTGGCAGGTAGTGTTTCTTATTGTCTTGCACACTTTTCTTTATTTTTACATTCAGATTGCTTTAAAAATTCCATTTACAAGACAATTGTTTATAATAAAATTCTATTCAATCGGTTGACACATAACGAATGAAAACAAATCTTCACATATTTTTTATAGACACATATTTTAATAAACAAAACTTCACATATTTTTAATAGACAAATTTTCACATATTTTTAATAGACAAATATTCAAATATTTTTGAAGGACAAATCTTCACATATTTTAATAGATAAATATTCACATATTTTTTATAGACAAATCTTCACATATTTTTAATAGACCTAATCTTCACATATTTTAATAAACAGATCTTCACATATTTTTAATAGACACATCTTCGCATATTTTTAATAGACAAATCTTCACATATTTTTAATAGACAAATTTTCACATATTTTTAATAAACAAATCTCCATATACTTTTTAATAGACAATTCTTCACATATTTTTTATTTTTTTCAGAGACAAATCTTCACATATTTTTCATTTTTAAAAGACAAATCTTCACGTTGTTAATGGTTTTCTTTGCTTGTTGAAACAAAATGCACGACAGTGATTTAAACCACGACTGGGTGCAACATGGCAACTTTTAATATGTTATATGAATACAGCAAAGTAAAACAAAAAAAAATCTAACAGTAGCTGTACTCCTGACAGATAAAAAAATTCTAATATTGATTTTCAACATCAGGTTATCTTCTCTCGGAAGAATATTACAATATAATTTTTGAACTCATTCATTGATTGTCGCCCTGACAAATGCATGTTTAAATATTCACGCAAAATTATTATTAGAAGCTATACAAAATTATTTGAAATTTGGTTTAAATAACTACTGGTGGTTATATAAAATTATTAAAATTTACATAAAATGCTTAGAACTTATATAAAATTATTAAAAAGTTCTATAAATTTATTAGTCTTCGTTAAAATCATTTTTAAAATACATAATATTATTATTATTGTTTACATAAAATTGTTAAAAATTTGAATAAAATTATTTTCATCTGTCTATATTTCTTAGATGGGATATTGTGACTATTCACATTGTTCGGACTGTTGTCCTCAGCTTTGTTGCCATATTCACGACATTTCGACTGTGGTTCGCTCCGATGTTCTTCAGATGATTGGAATTTCGAACCGAACCCTTTATTTCGTCCACCGGAGTAGATTGTTCTAGCTCCACGTGCCTTGCCTCAACCGATTATCTCACTATTAGTTATCTCCCTTTTAATTCGGACGCTCATGAAGGATTGAAATAAAGTCCAAATATATATATATATATATATATATATATATATATATATATATATTCAGGATCATTTTCCAGCTTATTTAAGATGATATCCGACGCCCTCTCTAGACTTCTAACTTCCTGACATGGATTAACAAGTTGCTTCACACGTTTCACGTAAATTTCATTTTCAAGTCTTTTTTCACTGCTCTTTGCAATGTCATAGCTAAAACTCCGTTCTCACATGCCAAACATCTTATGGATTAAGTTGAATCTTTTCTAATTGATCTTTTTAGCGCTAACTTGAAATGATGGCCCTTCTTCATGCTGTGATCTCCTGATCCAGTTTTCCTCTCTAATTTTCCCTCTTTTTAGACATTCACCGTTCTCTTTAAAGGGCTTTGAAGATGGATGCCAGCGTATGAATACTGGTACTATTACTGAAGAATAATATTTTCCTCTATGAGAAGATAACGATTAACGTTGCATTTAAATTTTTGAAAATCAATATTTCTGGAAACCAAGTAGCCAAGTTGTTCCCCAAACGAGATATTTGAGAGAGGAAACTGTTAACTTAGAACTTAACGTTATATCTCGCCATTTCAACTGTAAAATGATTAAATATGGCTGCCAATCCAGCAGTATTTTGTAAAATGTTCGGTATCACTATCAGGCCTGTCTCTTCCAGATATTTTAGTTACTGCTAAATTGATATAAATGAAGACAATTTCAAATCTTATTTGTGTCCCCTGAAGGAAACTCAAGCCATAAGATATAACTAATACCATAACACAAGATAACGTTTGAACATTCTCAGCATAACGTTGTGCGGCAAATTTCTTTAATTTCGTCAAACTGTCCTTGAGTTATCTTTGATGACAGACGTAAGAACTATGGCCTCGCAATAACGCAGAGAGTGAGAGAGGAAAAAGACAGATTACATCATGTTGCCTCAAAGACCTTACCCCACTTCATCAAGAAAGTATCCACGACCAGAAAAGATATCAATATATATATATATATATATATATATATATATATATATATATATATATATATATATGTCCAAGTATAGGATTGGTGTATAGGGAATAAATTCCAATAACCTAAAAATACTATTCTTAAAAGAGTGGCCAATACAGAGAAGAGCAAATATAATTTATTCGAAAATTATAACATAAATATGTTATAAAATCACTACAAAAATAGACATTTTGTTTCAACACTTCTGGTGTCTTATCAATTGATGGTGTTGAATGTATAATAAACTCTTTATTCTACATGGCTATTTTTTGTAGTGATTTCATAATATATTTATGTTATAATTTTCGAATAAAATACACGCACACACACACACACATATATATATGTGTGTGTGTGTCTGTCTGTGTGTGTGTTGTTGTTCGATAAAGTTTACATTAATTTGTACCTGGCTTCTTCGTCAGTTCTCAGTCATAATATTATATTTTACTCAACTCCGGATATATATATATATATATATATATATATATATATATATATATATGTAACTGCTACTACCAGCAAACAGAAATATTTATTCTCCTGATGATGGCCATTTTGGCCGAAACTGAATCGAGTAATATAAATGAAATAATAATAATAAAACGAAAGAATATTAATCTACAACCCAATGTGTCTGAAGATTTTAATATTTTAATATTTTTATATATATATATATATATATATATATATATATATATATAATATATAAATATATATATATATATGAAATGGACAAAGTCCGACAATTTTTTATGTTTATACGTTCTTTTATAGATGCAAATATTTAAGTAAATGCTCTGTCTTATAATAAACAGTATGAACGACATTTACCGGGCTGGTGACGCATATTTTCTATGAAAATTTCTCGGACATTTAGTCATAAAAAGAACGTGTAAATATAAAAAATGTTTTAATATATATATATATATATATATATATATATATATATATATATATATATATATATATATATATATATGAATATATATATATATATGTGTGTGTGTGTGTTATTTTTAATAATAATATTTTCTATGAAAATTACTCGGACATTCAGGCCGGTAAATGTTGCTAATACTGTTTATTATAAACAAAAAAAATATGTCCTAAAATAATTGTCGGACTTTGTCCATTTCATTATATATATATATATATATATATATATATAGGTTGCGATGGATAAATTGTCGTTTAAGTTATGCGAAAATGAAAATAACACTGACATCTCATTTTAACGGATATATTTACCCAAATTAGACAAAATATCTTGAAATAGTAAAGAATAGATTGATTCAATAAAATCGCCATTGGGTTCAACCACAGCCTCAAGAGGACTTTCGAATCTCATGCAAATCTTCCGGACGGTCACCTTGTTTAAGTGAATGATGGCCTAATCCTTCCCTTCAGTTCATTTTTTGGTGTTATAAGGAGTTTTTTGTCCTCTCACTCAACTGTGCCCCACACCTAATAATGAAGCCTGGGTAATTAGTGTGGCCAGATGTAAGGCGTGATGTGATCGCAGAAATTGACTGACAGCCATGACTGTGTTCTCCTGCTTGTGTGGCATAGTGCAGAGTTTTGTTGCCAGACATAGAGTCTTCCAGCAGCCACCCTCTTGACCCATGACTGCACTATCTCCTTAAGGATCTTGATCTGGCCTTGGTTTTTAGTCTGAGGCCCTCACCAGCAAATTCGGCAGTTCTTTTCTTATTAGAATGATCAGTCTGAGATTTCCAAGCTGCCGTACCTTGGCAATCACCATTAGACTCATCGAAGTCTTTCCAAATCCTCTGGACAGTCCTCAGGTTGACACCTAAACACTCTGAAATATTAGTAGTGGAGCACCCGACGCGAATGACAAGCACTACAGCATACCGTTTCTAATTTTCTAGCAAAATGAATTGCGTCATGACGTTCCATATTTCACAGACGGTGCCCAACTGACCTTACTATACTGCGCAGTGGACATAATAATAAAATAAACATTTGTTTGTGATTAAGAGGAAAAACTGAATGATTTTTTTATTACTTTATTAAATGTTTCTAGCACATGCGAAATTTTGGTTAAAAATCTTGTTTATCTTGCGTCAGCGGCCAGGCCAAAGATTAGTATTGAGATTTTAGCCTCTTTTTTAGCGTCAAAAACACGTTGTTTTGGAAATTCTTACAAAAATCAATAATAGGCGTATTTTAATGAAATTCTGAGGAATTATTTTGGAATATTTTTGGAATATTTTTTTAAATATTTTTGGAATATTTTTTAAATATTTTTGGAATATTTTAAAAATATTTTTGGAATATTTTTTAAATATTTTTGGAATATTTTTTAAATATTTTTGGAATAAATTTGGAATATTTTTGGAATATTTTTTAAATATTTTCAAAATATTTTTGGAATAATTTTGAAATATTTTTCGGAAGATTTTGGTATATTTTCTTTTAGAAAAACTTGTAAAAATATATTTTTTTTTACATCTGTTATCCCCACTTGCTTAATTTTGTGAAATTTCAAGAAATTAAAATTTCAGCCTCTTCGTACTTATATTAGTTAAAAGCAGTAGTCCTTGGAGAATTTAAATCATTAATTTGTTCTTGTGCAACAGAAACACCATTTACCGAAAATCTGCTCCGAATCATAAAATAAAAATGCAATAAAACTATAACTTTATTTAATTAGAAAAGAATTTTATTGCTTTTATAAATATGATATATTAATGATCCAATTAGAAAAAAGATTTTTTCGATGAATAACTTCTCTCCGCCTAATATTGCTTTGGACTAGACCAAGATAAGCTACGAAAACCTCACGATTCTTCCAAGTTTATGAATCCATCATACTTGCAGAAGCACTGGACCATGATCAACGTTTCAAACTATTACCCATCCACACATTAAACTAATTAAATGATTGAAATAATGATACGATGATCATCTGTTTAAATTTCTCGTGCTGTTTAAATGAAGAAATGGTAAGCGTACGTAACTGGAGAATTAGCCAATCAGATGCAAGGTTAAGCAGACGGCTGATTACATCAGATTCCCACGGTATGAGTAAGAGGCCTGAGGTTTGGTCTAACAGACTCTGGATGGGATAATTTAATTTGCATAAAACCCATAGAACATTCACCAATATTTATATAAGTATCAATTTAAAATCAATATCACGCCCCAGGACAAAATAACAAAAGTAGAGATTCATAAAAGGGCGGAAAAAAGTGAGTATATCTGAACAAGAGTGGAAAAAAAATTGAGGAAAAAACTCTCAAAGATTCGAAAACTTTTAGAGTAAACAAACACCTAATAGTTTAAAAAATAATTTAAAAACACACCATTAAAGAAATAAGTAAAATAAGTAAAATAAATAAATAATAGTCAAGTTACAGTTGCTGTTAAGTGTGTCTCAATTATCATCAAGTCATCATCACCTCATCATGGGTTGCGTGCTTCTAGCCTGACTAAATTTCCTATTTGAAGATGCTGAACTTTCCGGAAAAAAAGCAGGCGGTAACAAATAACAAATGGCGGCTCATATCGCATGATCGGAAGTAATGGAAGAAATGATTTTTTTTTCCTACCACGCTGTTTCCACGCGTGATTCCCTCATATTTGACAGTTTCTCTTCGCTCACTATTCTGCCAACGCTAGTTACTTCTGTCTATTTGGTTAACAAGAAACCCTTGGAGGCTTTCTTGGAGGTATCTGAATTCAGCTTGAAATTGTCAGGGAAAAATCATTTGAAAACATTCTTAACAGCTGTGTTCCACTGTGGGGCTGATCAAAGTTTATTCTATTTCAAATAACCAAAGCTGCTTTAATTATACGAAACCGAACACAACCATGATTGCACCCAGTCTGATAATGGCCTACAAAGCATATGTATCATACCAATGTTCTTAATTGTGTGACAGTTTTTGATAAATGTAACGTATAACCCGTGTGCGAAACTAGGTGGGCAAGTAATCGGGACAGGAGTGAATTAAAGAGGTGTAGAGTTTATATTAGATAATAACAGGAAGAAATATGTTCTGGGATGCCGCCAAATCTTAGACAGAATCGTGTTATTAAAACTAAAATGGGAGCATTTTAGCAATTACCCTTGTATATGCACCGACAGCGCAGATCACGAAGGAGAAAATCGGCAACTTTTACAACTCTTTAGACAACGCAAGGATCTATATAAATCACAAGAAATAACTATCATCAAGTGAGATCTGAATGTCAAAGTAGGAAAAGAGCGAGAACTCGAAATAGTTGGTAACTTCGAACTCAGATCCTGTAATGAGAGCGGCGAAATATCGGTCCAGTGGTGCACAGGAAGCAATCAAGTAATCAGCAACGCCTGGTTCCAGGAGCAACCAAAACGCCTTTTGATGCACAGAAGCCCTAGAGGAGACACAATATATCAGATGGATTATCTAACTATTAACAAAAGAATCTGAAACGTAGTTCTACACAGCAAACTATACCCAAGTGCCGACAGTGAGAGTCATCATCTTCCAGTAGTGTGCTACATTAGATTAAAAGTACGGAAACTAAAAAAAGTGAAAGTAACTTTAAAACTGCAATATGACAAACACTTGAATGACTAAAGTCGCAAGGAGATATACAAAATATAGGTATAAACGAATACACCCTGAATTAAAATATAAAATCAAAGTGGAACATGCTGAGAGAAACATTAGTGAAGTCGGTGAACAAGATCATCACAAAGGTAAATAGACAAAAACGAATGGATAACAGAAGAAATTCAAGAGATGATGAAAAAGTGACAATAAACAATGCCAAGGAATGGAAAAGACTGTCGAACACTAAACACAGAAATTAAAAACAATTGTAGACAGACTGAAGTGGAATTGAACGATGAAAAGTGCGCAGAAATAAAGAGATTGAGCAACACAAACATAGCGAATGTGCTCAACAGAATAAAAGAAAGAAAAGAAAGAAAAGGTGAG